CAAACAGTTGATCAGCTGTTTGTCGGCTCAGCGCGGCAGCCATGTAAATGTAAATGAAGCCGCGATCATTTAAATCGCGGCTTCATTTGCCTTTGCCAATAAAACAAATCTACATGGCTCCGTCGACATGTAGTTTAGACGTACCCTGAGAGTACTTCTAAGCACACAGGTAGGTCAGAGACTCTGCAGTACATATAGTACAGTGGTTCCCAAGCTTTTTTACATTGTGGACTGCCAAACCCATTCACAAACTTTGGGCAGATGGATAACATTTTATTTGCATCCTCATTATGCAAATATTGACTATGCAAATAAAATGTTACCGGTCCGCCAAAGGCCGCTGCGAACAGCTGCGCACCATGTGGTGGCAGAGGTCAGAGACTCTGCAGTACATATAGTACAGTGGTTCCCAAGCTTTTTTACATTGTGGACTGCCAAACCCATTCACAAACTTTGGGCAGATGGATAACATTTTATTTGCATCCTCATTATGCAAATATTGACTATGCAAATAAAATGTTACCGGTCCGCCAAAGGCCGCTGCGAACAGCTGCGCACCATGTGGTGGCAGAGTCCCAACACAAAAGGGTGTATCCCAGCCATGGCCCCAAGAGCTGCTGCAAACAGCCGGCTTCAGCTCCGGCAGCTGCTGCGGCCCAGCAGTTCCTGGCACGGCATGGCACCGGTTCGCAGACTGGCAGTTGGGAACTGCTGAGATCTGGCATGGGGGTAAAGGTACAGTGTTGGAACTAAGCTTGGGGCAAACCTGAGCGCCTCATGGGGGGTTAATGGGCACAGATCCATTAAGAAGTCACTTGGCAGTTGCCCATTTACATCACCTCAAGAGCGGGCCCATTTGCTGCAAATTGCCTTGATTTTATCTTTTAAATCTGAGGTTTTATTCATGTTTTTCTTCTACCGATTAAAATGCATGTTCAGCCTGAGCTATCTGATGTGTGTCTAGGACTTTATTTAGCATGCACACGTGCCAGAAGATATGTGGAGAGCGGGGGGACGGACGGACCTGTTTTGGGTCGGGGGCTGCACACAAGTGAGAAGCAAAAAACAAAACAAAAACCTCAAACCCTCACTGCCGTGGCTCCTGACTGAAAAGGAGAAAGACACTCCAGAGTCTAGGGGGCCCAGCCTAGTAGATTTTGTGTGTTCCAGCCCTAAGTCATGGGGGCCAGATCCAGGCAAGCCCGGGCCTTAGGTTCCCAAGCCCTGGTGTACAGCCAATGGATACTGGTTATCCACAGGAGGGACTGAACCTGCAATCTTAGGGGTTAAACCAATGAGCCTCTACCACAGATGCTAAAAGCCAACTGGCACTTAGCTAAGACTATAAAGCAGACTTCACTCTCCCTTGTCAGTAGTCTTAGGCTATGTCTACACTGGCGCAATCTTGCGCCAGAGGTATGCAAATGAGGCTAAGCGTGGAATATCGCCAAGCCTCATTTGCATACCTAATGAGCCGCCATTTTTGCGGAAGAGGCTCTTGGGCTAGAAGGAGCTGTCTACGCGGCCCCTTCTTGCGCAAGAAAAACCCTCTTGTGCAGTGCCGTTATTCCTGAAAATAATCAGCGTGGCAGCATTGCACAAGAGGGTTTTTCTTGCGCAAGACGGGGCAGTGTAGACAGCTCCTTCTAGCCCAAGAGCAAAAATGGTGGCTCATTAGGTATGCAAATGAGGCTCGGCGATATTCCACGCTTAGCCTCATTTGCATATCACTGGTGCAAGATCGTGCCAGTGTAGACATAGCCCAAGTGTCTCTGGGTTACACAGGTATGTACAACATGAATTCATTCTAATTAAAACAGCTCTCAGTTGTGATTTATACCAGCATATATAATGCCACTCACATACATCTACTTATTATCATTATTACACTCTTAAAGTTGTGTTTCAAAATATCTAAACAGAGCAACTTGTTCCTAATGGCGTTTTCTCCAAAGATCTGACAGTCTCAAACCAGGAAGACAAAGCTAAATTCACATTTTACTACCATTATCTGGCCAAACTGGGATGTCTCTTTTCAAAACCCTTCTCTAAATCAATTCCACTCAGTCTTGTTTGAATCACCAATGGCAATTTACCACTGGCATAGATGGAAGCAGATTTCAAACCAGTAATAGTATCTCAACAAACCTCCAAAACACGGACAAGACTGTACAAGCTTCCTAACACCTTATTTAATGCCAGGAGTACAACAGAACCACCAGTAGGGGGTGTCCTATGCTACATTTTACAGGACATGTAGTGCATATAGATTCATCTGAAGAAGCGGGTTGTGCCCATGAAAGCTCATGATGCCATCTACATTTTTTGTTAGTCTCTAAGGTGCTGAAAGACCATTTGTTGTTTTTTGTTTTTTCAGTACATATAGTGGTAACACAAACAGTTATCTCCAAGTAGCAACGACCTAAAGCCGCAGTGCAAAACGGTTTGTAAAAAGTGTACGAATGCATTGACATCCATTCAGCATTCTGGTAATGAACAGCTCAAAGTTTTTGATAGATCTGTGTCATGGCTAAGGCCAAAAGGGGAATGGAAGATACACACAGCCAAATGTTGCTTCTAGGCTTTTTGGCGTGGTTGCCAAAAAGTGAGTAACAAAAAGATTTAAAACAATTTCCAAGTTCTCACCCATAAGAATTTTATATAACTATGTATCATCGCAGTGAGTCAGATCACACCGCAAATATTTGGCTCAGATATAAAGGAATGGAAAAACGGAATGGGTGAGCACACTGAGTAACTGCCAGCTTTTAAGCACATATTCCTACCTCACGACCAGGTGCGTGCAAACAATGAACTCCGGTTTGGAATTCCATTGATGGTACGTGATGTAGTAGTGTGTCTGCAGCCATATCCATTGCTGGCCTTTGGTCAAGAATCTGTAGTAACAGGACTTGCCTTTTCCAAACTGCATCACTGTGGAACACAAAGAAACACTTTTGGCAATAACAGTTACATTCTGATTGTAACGGAAATCAGAAAAAAAGCTTTGTCCCGCCTAACAGAGCTAACATTGCTATCAATCCTTCCTAAACACTGCTTACCTTTTCCACCAGGTGCCAGGGCATTTTGTTTTTTTTATTTGCTGTTGGTAATTTAAAAAGAAGGGGGCTCCCATATTTGGGGCTCACTTACATAATTGGCCATTGCTGACACAGGCAGCTAATCTGTTTCTTTGCTATCAAGCCGTACACATCAATGATATCAGCTGCACTGTATATTGGTGCTTTGTATCTGCATGCATTTCACAGATCGCTGGCTTAAAGTTAGAAACCTAAGTAGAAGAACCCTGATCAGAAAGAGGAAGTCTGTTTAACTGGTATTTGAAATGTCCACAACTTAAGACTCCCTACAAGTGTTTCTTTGAGAGCTTGAGGCCCTGCTCCTGTGCTGGCGCCGTGTGCAAAGATAACCAGTTATATTTCCTTTTTAAAAGACTGTTTATCACGGCAGGGCCGGGCGTCCCCTCCATTGGCACGTGGGCAATTCGATAACTGCCCAAGAGGCTCAGGAAATGTGTGGCAGAGCTAGGGACTGAATCCAGCCCCCCAGGTCAATGCATTAACCACAAGACCATCTGCCTTGATCTCATCGAAAGCCTTTCAAAGCCAAGGAGAGTCTTTCCATGGAGCTCAGTGGGTTTGGGATCAGGTCCTGAAAGAGTTCAGCTGTAGGCCCAGTGAATTGCTGGTGCAAAATTGTGCCTGTCACATGGGAAGCCCTTTTAAAAGCCTGGTCCTTAATGTTATGTTCTGTTACATTTTTTTTTTTAAACAGCAGGGTTACGTCTAGACTGGCATGATTTTCCGCAAATGCTTTTAACGGAAAAGTTTTTCCGTTAAAAGCATTTGTGGAAAATCATGCCAGTCGAGACGTAACCCTGCTGTTTAAAAAAAAAATGTAACAGAACATAATATTAAGGACCAGGCTTTTAAAAGGGCTTCCCATGTGACAGGCACAATTTTGCACCAGCAATTCACTGGGCCTACAGCTGAACTCTTTCAGGACCTGATCCCAAACCCACTGAGCTCCATGGAAAGACTCTCCTTGGCTTTGAAAGGCTTTCGATGAGATCAAGGCAGATGGTCTTGTGGTTAATGCATTGACCTGGGGGGCTGGATTCAGTCCCTAGCTCTGCCACACATTTCCTGAGCCTCTTGGGCAGTTATCGAATTGCCCACGTGCCAATGGAGGGGACGCCCGGCCCTGCCGTGCAGGGGCAGTTGAGCAGATAACACTAGCGAGGTGCTCAGACAACATCAGGGATGGGAACATAAGCAGCCAAGTAGGTTAGATGCCTGAGTATCCGACTCCACCCACAAACCCAGCAGGTAGGGATCTAGGCTGGATTCAAAGTAGGCGCAGTGGAAGTGTCCCAAAAGTGTGTGTGGGGGGGATGAGGGAGACACAGGCATGTACTCAGACCTGGGGCCCTGCAGGAGACTCATCCCTGACCCTGCCCTCTCACGGCCTGTTCCTCTGGAAGCCCTCATGTTTGTCCTTCACCCTCATGCCACTCCTTCCTTATGAGTCCCTCCCACCTCCCACCCCACTGCCTCTTCCCCTGAGGCCCCGATCCCATGCTGGCTCTCCCAAACTGCATGCATTTGACCCAATATGTGCGTTAAATGTTTTCCCTGTGTACACAGCCAAGCACGGTCGCCTGCTGTTTGTTTGGGTCTTTTTCACAACAAGTGAGAAGAGAAAAAAAAAACCCACAAGATACGGCAGGGGACCGAGACACAAATACAGTGCCTGAAAGTACTTTTAATTCACTCTTCAGCTAGATCCACACGATGGGGGAAGGTCGGCTAAAGGTGCACAATTCCAGCTATGTAAAAATGTATCTGGAGTCAACATTCCTTAAACCAAGCTTCAGTACCGTCTCCACAGCGGGAGGTCGAAGGGAGAAACACTCCCGTCAACTTCCCTTCCTTCTCGTGAGGCGTAGGAGTGCCAGTGCTGACGGGGGCTCCCTCAGCATTCGATTTAGCAGGTCTTTAGTAGACCCACTAAATCGACTGCTGGAAGATCAACTGCTGCGGTGTCGATCTTCCCACAAGTGGAGACACGGCCTTTGAAACTGACTCAATTCCAAATTCTAGAATTGTACCTACAGTCGTGGGACAACTGTAGGGGCTACCCCCCCACCCACATACATGTGCAGCCTTTGATACAAGCAAAGCAAAAAGTGCACCCTTTTGAACACGACAATGAGCTACTCATGGTTGTTATGTATGGATAAGCCCCATGGAAGCTACAAGTATTGCATCAAATGGTCTGTCTTGGTGACAACAGAAGCAGCTGAGACGGACAGTCTATAGCGGGTCAGCTGCCTACTTGCCTTTTTTCAGCTAATCAGGTTGGTTTGGAAAAGTTTTTTTTTCTTTCCTATACTTTATTCGGAAGCATACATGATGAAATGAAAAAATAGGGTCGAAAAATAGTAACAGAGACACTTTACAAACTCACACCAGGTGGTAAAACAACATTTACGTAATCCCACCACTGAGCCCTTCCTTAGACTAGCTCCATGCTCCAGTGAGATCTGTAGTAACACCAGCATGATATAGTGTAGCAGGAGCAAGCCACTCCTGCAATGGATGGCCCCTGAAGAACTTAAAAGCAAACGACTGGGCAGAGAGCAGCAGGTTGAGAGCTCTTCCTACTCTTACTAAGGAGACGTTCAGCACACGCTATTCTAAGTCATGAAATGTAACTACAGGTTGAACCTTTCTAGACCAGCACCCTGGGGACCCGATTGGTGCTTAACTAGATAATTGGCTGTACCATGGGAGGTCAATATTGTCTAGCCACATTACCAACACTTCTACTGCTGACTTGGCTCTTAGAAGACATATAGGGGTAAATCAGAGCTCAATCTCAGCACAGAACACTGAGGGCCAGGAATGGTGGCTGTAAACAAACTTTATGGGACTGCGGAAAACCTGGCCACACCCATGATAAGTGGATATGCAGTTAACTAAAATCATGAGTCAGCAGTGTGACACTGTTGCAAAAAAAGCAAACATGATTCTGGGACGCATTAACAGGAGTGTTGTGAGCAAGACACGAGAAGTCATTCTTCCACTGTACTCTGCGCTGGTTAGGCCTCAGTTGGAGTATTGTGTCCAGTTCAGGGCACCACATTTCAAGAGAGATGTGGAGAAATTGGAGAGGGTCCAGGGAAGAGCAACAAGAATGATGAAAGGACTAGAGAACATGACCTATGAAGGAAGGCTGAAAGAATTGGGCCTGTTTAGTTTGGAAAAGAGAAGACTGAGAGGGGACGTGACAGTGGCTTTCAGGTATCTAAAAGGGTGTCACAAGGAGGAGAGAGAAAAATTGTTCTTCCTGGCCTCTGAGGATAGAACAAGAAGGAATGGGCTTAAACTGCAGCAAGGGAGGTTTAGGTTGGACATTAGGAAAAAGTTCCTAGCTGTCAGGGTGGTCAAACACGGGAATAAATTGCCCAGGGAGGTTGTAGAATCCCCATCTCTGGAGATATTTAAGAGTAGGGTAGACAAATGTCTATCAGGGAGGGTCTAGACGGTACTAGGTCCGCCATGAGGGCAGGGGACTGGACTCAATGACCTCTCGAGGTCCCGTCCAGTCCTAGTGTTCTATGAGTCTATGCCGGACCATGGATGTTGCTGGACCAGAGAGGTTCAACCTGTAGTAATACTACAGTGTGACACAGATGGCAATTTCCTGAAATATCCTGGACCAACTTTACTGAATTAAGTATTTTAGGAGTTTGTTGCATTAGAAACACCAATGAGTAATGTACTATTGTGAGCTTGCAGGGAAAATCTCCAGGGTGGAGACAAGACAAATGAAACCCTTGAGTTTCAAAGGACTCTTTTAAACAAGAGGTCAGACAGAAAGGAATAGTTGGGATAAACAAAGTGGAGTGGATTTCCTAGGAAATGTTTGGGAGGTGGAAAATACAAATTTCCACCTCTGGATCCAACCTGTTGATGCTATGTCTGGAGGAGATACCCGCTATCAATGCATGATCTATTCCACGATCAAAGATCAAGGCTGGATAAAAGAGTGGCTCAAAATCTTGAGTCTCCGGAGGTAGCCTTGTTAGAGGAAGTGGGTTTTGACTACAGCATGTAGTCAACCTGTGGAAATCCTTCCCAGAGGAGGCTGTGAAGGCTAGGACTATAACAGAGTTTAAAGAGAAGCTAGATAATTTCCTGAGGTTAGGTCCATAAAAGGCTATTAGCCAGGGGATAAAATGGTGTCCCTGGCCTGTTTGTCAGAGGCTGGAGAGAGATGGCAGGAGACAAATCACTTGATCATTGTCTTCGGTCCACCCTCTCTGGGGCACCTGGAGCTGGCCACTGTCGGCAGACAGGATACTGGGCTAGATGGACCTTTGGTCTGACCCAGTACAGCCATTCTTATGTTCTCTTATTCTGAGCAAAAGATATGAATGTGTAAAACCACCTGTGTGGGATGTGAGGGACTCACCACCAGTTGGTAGAGGTGGTGTGATCTCTGGTAAGCTTATTAGAATGTGTGTAGATCTTTTTTAATGTTTGCAATGTTCTGCTTTTACCCAAAGAACATATGTGCTGGTGTAACCACCACCAGGCGGATTTGAACCTAGGCCCTCTGGAGCTGAGTATAGGAGCTTTTACCCTCTGAGCTAAAAGCCAGCTGGCTCCCAGCCCATGCTGTAGAGGTCTCTTGGTCTTAACTGTTGCTATGGTCTAGGTACCACTTGCTTGCTCAGTAACCACACTAGGGCTCTGTCTACACTGGCACGATCTTGCACCAAAGCGGCCGCTCTTGTGCAAAAACTCGCTGCCTGTCTACACTGGCCGTGTGTTCTTGCACAAGAACACTGATGTTCTACTGTATAAAATCAGGGCTTCTTGCACAAGAACTATGATGATTCTGCTCAGGAATAAGCCCTCTTGCGCAACTGTTCTTGCGCAAGAGGCCAGTGTAGACGGGCAACATGAATTTCTTGCACAAGAAAGCCCGATGGCTAAAATGGCCATCAGAGCTTTCTTGCACAAGAGAGCGTCTACACTGGCACGGATGCTCTTGCGCAAAAGCACATCTCTTGCACAAAGGCACATGCCAGTGTAGACGCTCTCTTGCGCAAATACAAGAACTCTTGCGTTAAAGAGTATGTGCGCAAGATCATGCCAATGTAGACGTAGCCAAGGTGTGCGGGTTACGCTTGCTCAGAAAGGGCTTCTTGGTGCCTTCTTGGCTTCTGGGGGCAGTTATGCTGTTGATTTCCTCTGAGGAGAAGGTGAAGCAGGCCTGCGTAAGCAGCCTGACTTGGCGGAGAATTCACAGAGCTGTGCAGCTTGGAAATACCCCCAGCACAAAGAACTTAATTAGAACCTGTTCTCCGGAAGTGCTAAGTACACAGGGTTTCATTGAAGACAACGGGAATGGAGAGTGTTCAGTAGCAAAACCCCAAGAATCGAGGTTGTTTGCATTCAGGGGAGCCAACAGCTTCTGCAGGCTCCTGCCTGAGGCGCCACACTCCTGGAAGGGGTGGAGCCTCAGGCAGAAGGAGCAAGGTGCACCCCCCCGCCCCCCAGCCCTCAGATTTAAAGGGCCTAGGGCTGCTGCTGCTCCCCCTGGGCGCCCCCACTGGTACGCCTGCTCGCACTGCAACATAAGAGCAATCAGGAACGGAAGACAGGAACTCTGGTTTCCCAGTTTTGCAGTGTAACCACACTGATAGGGCAACTGACTTCCAGGGCTCAGACACAACAGAGAGCTGCCAATCTGGCAAATACTCACCGATAAAACTTGCCCCGATAAAACCCTGGATTCCTAGGCATTCCTCTTCCCTAGTGAGGCCTGAACGGAGCCATATTTCACAGGCAGAGGGAAGCACCCCCCGAATAAACAGACCCGTTTTTGCAAGTACCGTCTTTTGCACACGTGTCGTAATTGCGTATTGTCAGTTCCCTGCAAGCAACGGGAGAGGAACTTACAGTGTTCATGGCACCTAGCAAGAAGCTCCAGGTCATCAGCGTGGTAATAATCGTAACCTGACGTTCCCAGAACCTCAAAGGGTAAATAGCCTATGATGGGCGGGGCCCTAGAATGAAAGCACAGAGAAAGAAGTCAGTACAAAAGTTGAGGCGAAAACCATTTGGTAGAAGACTTCCCGCAAACTGAAAGCCAACTATCTCCTTGCAAGGAAGTCAGGCGCGATATCGATTTCTTTGCAGCAGAGTGAGAAATAAACACAAGCATGTCAAAACTGAGTAAATGAGGAGGTATCTGTTTATTATTTCCTGCTCTA